CAGGTTTTGGTCTAACCTCTTGACAGACCTTCACCAAACTGCTGCATAACAGCTATTCCTCCAGCTGCTTTGGAGAGACAGTTGATCTGACATGGATGTGTTAAGACACATTTAGCAGAATTCTCTTATTTTTTTAGAAAGACACAGGTAACATGAATCAGGACTTCGGTTTGCTATAGGGTGCCTATAGCAGTGTTTTGAAAGGTACTGCCCTTTTTGTGGTCTTACATGACATTTAGTTACGTTTTCCAGTAAGTAATCACCTACAGGTCATGGATTTTGGTGTTTCCTGAATAGAGCAGTAAAACTATACTGTTCTCACTTTTCCTTTCACTGGAAGCAGGCTGAATGAGCTGTTGCTGATTGTGCTTCTTTATGCTCACTGTATTGTCTTCACTTACAAGGTTGTTTTGGGACATCTCAGAAATGGCTACACACAATTTTTCATATTTGTGTACTTTAAACATAAAAAGAAAAATTGAGGAATGCATCTTGAATGTGAACAGCTCACAACAAAGGTAGTAACAGATGCTTCGCTTTGCACATTTGGAGTTGGTTCCAGGTAGATGGTGTTTTCTTACAAGTCTTTGAAACAACAGTGAACTTGAAGGTAGGGGAGAGCAGAAGGAGGGAAGCTAACTTCTAAACTTTACGCTATTTGGTAATTCTGGTAATTGTGAATGTATGAGCTTTGGTTTATCTAGAATATGGAACTATTATTTGTTGATTCTTAATCATATGTAATCATGTTTCTAAAACTGTTTTCTCCATACTGCTGTATTCTCCAGCTTTGTAAGTCTGTAAAGAAAATGCTTTAGTATTGACTAGTATTGTCAGTTTCCAAACTAAACCAACAGTTTTACAGGCTAGACTGAGCATGACTCAATTAATATGAGTAAGTCCGACTTTATAACCTAAGTTCTGCCTAATTGAGGTAAGATGTGTGGTCCAGTTCAAAACTTGCTGTTTTTAAACCTGGAAGTTTTTTAGTTTGTACTTCCAATATTTGGGCTATGTAGTATCCCAACTGCACTGCATGCAGGTCATGAAAATCTGCTGGTAGAAACAATTTCTGTGGTCCTCCTTTAGCTCTCAGCAGCTGCAAAAGGTTAAAAAGAAGTTTGTACTGCCACGGTGATTTGACATTCAGGTTTCAGTGGTGTGAATAAACCCTTTGATATCAGTGATTATGGACATTTTGCAGGTTCAGTGATGATACCCGTGAGTCAGGTTCTTTTTTAAACCGAGCCAAAGCTTTGGAAAGGGGCAGAGCATGGTGTCCTTCAGGAAGCTTCTGTTTGAAGTGCTCCAGTTCCAGCACAAGGCAGTTGTGGAAAGACTTACACAATCTGTTGAAAAGATGCAAAGTACCTGCATGTACTAATCTAACAGAGAGCCAACATTTGCGGGGAAATGAGGGGGGTTGGGTTTTGTAAAAGGACTATGTATCCTCGTTTGCATTAGCAAACTTGTGAAGTATATTTAGTGTTGAATTTTTTTTCTTTTCTTGAAATGGGGAGAAGACACTGAAGTGAGAATGAGGCACACACTATCCATATCTATTCAGTGGAAGGCTTGCCTCAGCCTCATATGTTTGGCTTCCTTCTGTGGTTTCCCTCCACAGCCTGGCTCTATGACAGACTGTCTTTGACCCCTTCGTCTCTCTCTCTCTCTCTCTCTCCTCCTCCTCCTCTTCTCAGAAGACTGCTCTTAGTTGACGTGGCACAGCCCTAACCTGGGGCCCTTGGTTTAAGTATCCTAAAGTAAAGCAAAGACACAAACTCTGTTCTATCCAAACTACTTCTCACTGATAACTTTTCTCCCCAAGTGTGGTTAATGCGGTTTGCAAACTAGTCTCTGAAGTTGAAGGTATTTTCTGCATGATTGTTACTGGAACTATAATTTTCTTAAAAAATCAACTTATCCATGCCTGAATGCTGCCCCCCCAAACCAAACCCCAAAACCACTAAACCCAACCAGCTGAAAAAAAACCTAAAGAGTATATTCTGAATAGACCTTAATGTTGTCTGTCAGAGGCCCAGCAGGTATGAAGGTGCTGTATGGAGTGTGCCAGGCTTGGTTTCAGCAGCATAGGAGTAAGGCAGCCTGTGCTGGGAATTAAGCAAATCAGTGGCCTGGAGTATTTTTTACTAGCTCAGGGCCAAGTGCATAGTTTCAACTGGATTTATGCTGTTGACTGTCACGGTAAGGTAGTTTCAAGTCTTAACATGGTATTCCTGCAAAAGTAAGAGGTCAAACTGTGTTGCTTCATCTGCTATAAAGTCAGGTTACAGACTGTCGAACGAGACTCTTGTTTTATGCTATTACATTTTCCTTGAATATTATCTCAAGTTCTGTGAAAATCTGAAGTCTTAGGCCCAAGCATAAATTAAGTATATCTTTTATAGCTTCTTTAAATCCCTTTAAGGCCCTCCTGCAGTTCTTGCTTTCATGGACTTTTCTTTCTAATCTGTGGCTTATTTTTACATGGTGAGGTTCAAACAAGGTCTAGCAAATGTAAGGGTTTGAAGACAAGAATAGTTAGCTGACAACCAGGAGCTGTTGGTCTAACTGAGCAACCCCTGTGTATTAAGAGCCTTGCGCTGAGGAACATCTGACTTTGCATGTCCTAAAACAGCCCTTGCGGAGCAACTATGAGAATTAGTCCAGGTTACTTCATTAAATAAATGTAAGGGACAAATCTTGCAGGCTTCATTTGAATTGGAATGCACTGCTGTGGAAAAAGGAGATGGCAGGAAACGTGCAATAGCAGCTATGTGGTAAATCTTCACAGATACTGGTTTTAGTTTATTCTCATACTGTATTTGTATTCTTTGAAAAGATGTTCTATGTCACAGGCATCCTCTCTCTAACCACGAAATCCACCTTTCTCATTAACATATGGAAATAAAGTGTGACCATCTTCTTCCTACCAGAGGCCTCCTACAGTGCTTTCTGCACATCTGTGGTTTGTAAATATGTTGTGACGGTGTAAGTGTATATCGTGCTGCTGTCACTAAGTTTTCCTTGATTTTTCCGTGACGATGGCCTTCCTGAAGTCTTAAAGTCCCTCTAATCTTAATTCACTGGTTAGAGAGAAGTATGGCAAGACTCAATGCAAGTTGAAGACAGTAAACAGTGGCAGTGCTGGTGACCAAGTTGTAGTAAGTTATGGCGTTCTTTTCTTGTGGAAGGCGAATCTCGGTCTCTCCCTACTGCAGTGCTGATGATGTGGATGATGAGTCATTCTGAAGACGGGTTTAATGAACGAACAGATCAGTAAAAAGCCCATAAAGAGAGAAATCTGAACAATCATACTTTCTTTGGTGAAAGCACTGACGCTTCAAACATCATTCCAGGAAAGATGTGCTTCCCATCCTCACAGCAAAAATCAAGCCTGTATGTATCTCAGATGGGGCACAGTTGGCAGATTATTTAAAGTGTGTTAAGAGCCAGAACATGAGGTCAACTTCCTTTGGATGAGATCTAGATGAGTTTCAACAGCAAGCTTAATGCAGTCATCTGCAAAGGTGGGCTTGTCTTGGTTTTACAGATCCTTAAAAACTTCTTTAACCAAGAAAACCTGACATTAAAAAATCCTGGCATCTCCTCCTTGTATGCATGTGATAGTGCACAGTAAGTATTGCCTTACTGCACTTGTCCCTCACCATTAAATATATCTTCTGTCTCTGGTTAGGTGGATTTTTTTTAACTGTAGAAACACATGGATATGCATCTGTTTGACTACATAGCCTAAAAGACCGAAGTGCTGACCCGCCATCCTTCCTCAGAAGTCCTTATTGAACCCACGGCCCAGGAATATGGGTTGGGTTGAGAATCTAGTTTGAGGATGTTAAAAACGGAAGGGGAGGAAAACTCTAGTGATTACAACAAACACTTAAGAAATGGGAGACGAAAAGTCACAATATGCCATGGAGATAAATGCATTTTATGGAATGTGGTTTGTCTGCTTTTATAAATCCAAATGGAAGGTTATTTCATAATGCATCTGATTTTAAAGGATTTTCAGAAAAAACTGAACTCTGATCTTTCTGTCTCAAGTATCCCGGGAGTTGGGAAGGCAGGTGTTCTTGTACTTATCAGTGCTTCTAGCTGGAGTCACAGATGCTGACTTCCAGAAGGCTTCTGGTATCTCTGAGAACGTCGGGCTGAAGTAGCGAGGAATGCTGTAGCTCTGAATGAGCAGTGCCGCACATTGTGTGGAAAGAGCATTTTTCCAACTGAGAGCTATCTTCTTGCAGCAGTCTGCTTTTACTGTCCCTCAGATGCCTGTTTTGCAGGTGCCAGTTAACTGTATGATGCAGCAGATTGTTAGTATACTGGCATTAGAGTAGCTCCTTCAGGCAGAGTGCCATTCTGCTGTCACGACTGTTCGCAGGCATAAAGAGAGACTGTCACTCTCCCAATAATTTGCAATCTGAACTGACAAGAGGGCAATGGAGATGGAGCAGCTCAGTCTCAAGTTTCTTAACGCCATTCAAAACTTCCAGTGTTACTTGAATAAAGTGACTGAGTTCAAATACACTTTTTAAGAAACTATCTTTTGCTTTAATAAAACAAAAATTAAGCTAAGGGGAGGGAAGGCGGGGAGAGCAATGTAAACACAAATACAGGAGTTTGGATAAACCAGCTTCTTTAGGATTTCTATAGCTGTTCAACAGTAAAGGTAACCTTTCTTCTCTCTTTTTAATCTCTTGCAGGAAGTCCAAGGGAAAGCCAAATGGTAAAAAGCCAGCACCGGAAGAGAAGAAACTTTACCTAGAGCCAGAATACACAAAATCCAGAATTACTGACTTCGAATTTAAGGAGCTAGTGATGTTACCACGAGAAATAGACCTCAACGAGTGGCTAGCCAGCAACAGTGAGTATTGTGATAGTACAGCTCTGAGCTCACTGTCCACACGCAAGAAGGCATTCGTTCACTCTGTTTCTTTTTACTGTTTTCAGTGCTTAGAAAAACACTTAATGACTATTTATGCTTACTGCATAATGCATGTCATTATACCTTGAATAGTAATTAAGCTGTCTTACGTACAAACCAACTGTGCTCAGCAGCATGGAAGCCTTGATGAGTTTCCTCCTTCCAGCTCCCTCACTGTGGCACTGAGGGCATTAAAGATTTTGATGCTCTTTTGAGGACCATCAGATTCCCTTTGACCATTTGCTAAACCAGCTGGTTCAGCACGTTTCTGACTCAAGCTATTGGTCTTCCAGAAGCATTGTAAAAATGGTAGTTTATTTGTATGTAAAGCAAGTTACGCTTAAAGCCAGAAGTTTTGAAGTCTTTTGGTTGGATTTCTTCTCCCCACTCCTTCCAAGATTTGGTGGAATTACCGTGAATTTGAACTGTAGTCAAGCCAGAACTCGGAGACATGACTGACTGCTGTGACTGAATGCTGTATCTGTGCATCTCAGTTCTGATTTACAATACTTTCCTGTGCTTCTGCTTCATCTGCCAGTCCTAACCTGCAGCTATGACCCAGTCTTGTTTACATTTTAAACAGAATGTGGTAGTAGCAAGAAACTACTTTAAACTGCGTACTAGGAAAGTTTATAGAGACTTGTTAAGAAACTGTGAGGTGCCCCGAGGAGTATTAAGATGTTAAATTATCTCAGGAGATTTTTAAAAAGTAGAAGTGTACTAGTTTTCATGCTGTTTTTTTAAAAAGGAGATATGTCATGAGAAGTACTAATGCTGTTTTCTAGGCACTGTACATTTTGTGCCTGAATTCAAAAGAAGGTAGCAAATTGTTTGCCTTCAGCTTGTAGTACAGTATTCTACTGTAAAGGCGAGGCTGATGACGGAGATACTTTCCAGTCTTGCTGCTTAGTGAGTAATAAGAGCTGATGCATCATGGTGCTTTCATCTTAAATCAAAACAAGAGCTTTCATTCTATGTACCTCTTTGTTTTGCAGTTCATCATTAGACTCATTTAGCTAAATCATGTTCAAATTTGTATGCAAGCTCAAGACTCTGAGGTCACTTCACTTGCTGTATTTAAATAATTGTCTGGAGGATAACCAGTGTTTGAAAGTATTTTACTTCTGAATTTCTTTCCTTTGTGTTTATTTTTCAGCAACAACTTTCTTTCATCACATCAACTTACAGTATAGTACAATCTCAGAATTCTGTACAGGAGAGTCATGTCAGACCATGGCAGTGTGCAATACGTAAGTCGATATTTACAATTACAGGGTTTCCATGAAGTCTTCAGAGTTGCTTGGGGGAGGATATTGGTATTAGATGGCATCGGGCAAGTGTTTTACAGCAGATCTCTACTTAGTGAGAATGTGGCAGCTGTACATCCTCTTCTCTCCCCTCAGCAGTGAAGGGTGGTGGAAATCTGTCTTTGTGAAGGACTAGAAGGATGAGAATCTTTGACTGCTCTGAGCTGGTTTTATAAGGTCAGATCAGAGAGGCAAATTACCATGTGTGTAGCTTGGGGGGAGAGGGGAAGAAGAGCAAGGCAAAACTGTCCTTACTGGTAACAGTGCTGGGATTCCATAGAAGGCCAGGGAGGATGAACGAATTGCGAAAACCTCAGAGGGTGCTTTTGATAGCTGGAATGCTGACAGAGCACCAGGCTGCTGACAGATAACCTCTAGCCTGACGTGAGCCACTGGCTTTCTGCCCAAGCCCCTGGGCACAGAGGACACAAGTGGCAGCTTTGCAAAGAGTAAGGAAAACGTTTTGGTTTGGCACTTTCCCCCTGTAGGACTTAGTAGACTTTTTTAATGCTAGCCAATGCTAGCTGTCACTTATGAAAGAAAGCTTTGTAGTTTTACTGTACATGGTGAATATAAGAAAAAGTTACCATAACTCCTGCTCTTGATTAGCACAGTCCAACATGATGGAATACGAGATCCAGTCCAGTATGAATAAGCCTGTTGTGTTTTGGGGTTTTTTTCTCCAGCACATGTGTTGATAGTCCTTTTCTTCCCTCCTCTTGCATTTCCTGGGATTAATTTAGTTGAGATGGATTTTAAAACAGAAGACTAAGCAGTTAATGTTATAGTACATCAAACAAACATCCCAGGGAATGTATGCAACAGAACCAGAAAAATGTATTTTATCTCTGACAATAATTACGTAGTGCTTAGAAAGGAATCCTTGCTTAATGCACTGGGCTATCTTGTACACTTGAAATTAATATCAGGGGCTTTCTTTGAGAGCATGCTGAAGAACGCAGAGTGTATGGAGGATATTTTTGCATGTAGAAGTTAGAAAGATAACTGTCAGTAGAGAATTAAAAGCCATGCTAGGGACTTTGAAAGGAGGCTGGAACAGAAGGTAATAAATCTCTGCTGGACCCAGATTTTATCAAAAGGAGACAGCATGTCTCTAAATGAGAAATGGTGATCAGTAAGATGAGTATTTTGTTGACTCTTGCTCCCATGCTTTCTCCTGTTTTAATTCCTGATGTAGCACTGGCTGTCCAAAGGACTGAGTTTAACTGTTTCTCCACTTGGCTGATGGGAAATAGTGGCTAAAGGGAGGTGGTGGTAGGGAACCTACGTAAGTGTTGCTCCATTCTGCTCTAGTGAGTCTTAAACAAGAGTTCTCTGTATGTAATTCATGCTGCAGAATAAAGAAGGGAAGTGCCTGTAGGCGGCTCCAGCTGTAGTCTGTATTTTTAGTGGTGAGGACTGATAGCAGAATGTTCCTATCCTTTGTTTTGAAAAACTGAAAAATTGCACTATTTGGGAATAACAGGAAGCATGTCTACACTTGGGTGAAGCACTTGAAACGGTTTGTGTTTAGCTAAATCATAACAACTTAAGTATCTTCCTGTACTTGGGGGCAGATGACTGATTCATGTTTGCAAACTGTAGGCTGCATATTTCATTCTTCTATCAAGTGTGCGGGTCTATGAAAAAACCACAGAGGTGAGATCACCTAGCTACACACCTCAGTACAGTTCAGCTTTGAAGGCCCTGTTCATAATTGTGTTCTCCAAGTATCTCTAATGACAATTTTGGATGATACTTATCTTTAAGTTCTGCCTTTCCTAGCTCTTCCCTTTTGGAAGAGATATGCCTAAATGGAACATGGAGAACTGCCTCAAAGATGCTCATTTGTTCATATCCAATTATGACTATTGCAAAGCCATATGTCACTTCTCCACCCCCCTTCCTTCTTCTTTTTTTAAATCTTACTGTAATGAAGTAAGGTAAGGACATGCTTATTGTGTTGGAGAAACACCAGTTGATACGATTTATTGTGCCTCTGACCTGTCTCCAGTATAGAAAGAGTATCACCTAAACATTAGAGTCAGTTGTTGATTAACCTGATGGACACTCCAGATTTGACCTTCTGTGGCTGTGATCTGTTTGTTCAGGTACTTTGGAATAAAATAGCATCTACCTCTATTAGATTGCCACAGAATTACAGTACCTTGGAATAAGGGTGCAGTTTGCCATTTTTTTCAGTGCTAATTTCTTAAGTAGCTCAGTATGAAGGTCTGTATTCTGTTCCTCTTTTATGTTTTCCTTGCCCAGTTCTCTAAGGCGTGTTTTGGATCACACCATTCTGGTCATACCTAAGGAAGGCTTTTTGTATTTATGGTTGAGATGTTGAAGTAACTATTGAGAACAGGTTGCTTGTCAAGTTACTTTGCATTCAAATGCAGTGCAAATACTCAATCCTAAGTTTAAAGGATTTGCTGGCAAAATAAATATCAGTTGCAGTTAAATATTTGAGGTAAGGTTTTAACATCTCAGAGAAGCTCCAGCCAACTGACAAACTGCAGACAGATGCAGCTTTCAGCCCTCTGTCAGATATATGAGATAGCACAGCCATCTGCACACAATGAGGAAGAGAATTTCTGCTTAGGGTTACTAAGAGACATCTGACCAAAACTTAGTCTTCTTGTAGAACAGATGGAAGCATTTGCTGGCAAGGTGGGATAATGCCAAGAGAAATACCAGAATGGCCAGTTACCTTCAAAATTTAATGAGGGGTGGCATGAATGTAACTTTGGGAATTACTTAATTTTGCTCATTAATATGTTTATCACTTGCTGTAAAGCAGGTACTATATTTATAACACAGTATTTACTATTTAATTTAGTATGCTTTATAGCTTATTATTACACAAACTAGCTTTAAAGCACCGTGAGCTGTAAACTGGTTTTCTAGCTGACATTTGGGCAAAACTTCTCAGAAGTGCTGAAGTGAGTGGAGTAACTAAGAGCGTATGTAAGTGCTGTTCACGAGGCTGAGATTAGAAAACTCCTGAGGCAGAAATCAAGGATGGATGCAAACTTCTAGGCAGCCCACAGATAAGAGTGAAAGGTCTCATTTTGGCCCAGTGAAATCCCTTAATCGGTAATTACTTATCACTCATATTTCTAATCTTAAAATATCCTTTGTCATGTCTACCTTGCCCTTAGTGTGTCTGCATATGGAGGGTTATTTCCTTTTAGAAATCTTAACTCAAACTTGCATGTTTTGTATTTTCTTGTAAGTTCCCCGAGCTGTATGCTTCTCCATGGTGGCTCCTTTGTCTTTTTTTTTTCCCCCATCTAAACGTTGCTTTGCCCCTATCAAACTATCAAAGGTATTCCAAGTTGCTGACAAGCACTATATTACTGCCCTTGCATTTGATACAATTTGCCATCATGCTTTCTTCATAACCCATCTTTTGGTATTTCTAGCAGGGCTGTCTCTCCTTCCTTTCCAGTCCACATAAGCTCCACAGCATTTGCCTTTCCCTCCTTCCAGAAGCTTTTCGTACATACTGATGTAACTTCTGTTCTGCCTTGGCTTCTATGTCATCAACACAAACCCAGAATGTTTTAGAGGAAAAGGGATAAAATATGTACATATATTAAGATGCCATGCTGTGACTTCATATGTGTTATACTTTATTATTTGCATCATAGTAATTTCTCCCTGGGATTTAGAACGGAGCTGCAAATTCCTCATGCTCTCCATACTGGGGAAGTTTAAATCTGCCAGAATTTTACATAGGAAATAAAATAATCAAAATCTGTATCATGTGAGCACTTTTTGAAAAGTGCCTCTAGGTGTCGTCTTCTCGTCCTTTCTGCTTCCCATCCATTGCCTAATATGGGGCTGTACTGTCACTGTGCCAGCGGTGGAATGCAGTTAGGCTTCTGTGCCCAGCCAAGCCCTTCCATGGCCCCAACCTGCTTCCTATCTTGTTAACGGAGTTAGCTCCAGCATGGGTGGGAACTGCGTACCAGGTGTTCATGGCATGTCAGGGGCTCCTCTCTTCCTCCAGGACCTGCGAAGACTCTGTTCATAGCACTTGAAACATGAGGAAGACACGTGATTCTAATCAACAATCCCCTTACTGTTAATGATTGTTCTTTTAAATTCCTATTTTGCATAATTAGCCTAATGTTCTCTAGGAAAGGCAAAAGGGGTATGCAGTGGGATGTTACAGCAGATCTATTCACTTATATTTTCATGTAAGTGAACTTGTACAGTTGCCAAACTGTTTCTTTTAACTAAAATCAAATTATTCAGATTCATTTTTGTGCCTAAGGGCAACTCTAAACTACGCTTTCTATCTTGCAGTTGAGGATTTCTGCAGCATGAGAAATCTGCTGAGGTACAGACAGTCCAGTCTGCTTCTGCTCTTGGCAACAAGCATTGTCTTAAGACCCAAAATAAGTCTGAGTTGCCTAGAACTGTCTTGCTCCAGCTTACTGCAGGACTAGACAAATGAGGTGGCTTGTGTTTGTGCACTACATTGTATAATTCCTTATATGTGGATTGTATAAAGGAAGTAAGCAGTGATGAAGAACACGGTCTACGCCTAAGGGCCCAAATGCTACTTGTGATGCCTGACATAGCTCTACAAAGAGCTTTTAACTCCTGCTGTTTTCATCCACTTGCTCACCTTTTTATGCCCTTTTGCAGTCAATCATGCTCTCTCTAGTAAACAACAGAGTGACCAAGCACCACATGCTGAAAGTAAGCTGAAAGAAAAATTCTAAACCTTAAGTGTTTGCAGAACTAGTTTTCCGTTGCCCTTCCTCTTTTAAAAGTTTGAACTACTCATTTCTGCAGCTTCCTCTTGTTTTCATATGGCTTGGGGCATGAACAGTGTCCTCACCGCCCTCAGGTCCCTGAAGAATCTTTCAGGGCAATGAAAACACTTTGTAAATTAAAACTTTTCATTTGCTACTTAACATTTTTCTTTAGTTGCTTCAGGACCGTTCTGCTGGTCAGTATACATAAAACTTCACTTTCCAAGTGACATGTATAGATCCTTCCAGTTCAATGCAGTCTAGCCCTGTTAGGCACAGAAAAAACATTTAATCTTTATCTTCTATGCCCAAAAAAAAAAAAAAGTTTCCAAAGGTGGCTAAACGTCATGCTGAAGTGGTATTTTTGTCTAGTGCTACAACGAGGCTTGTTTAGTGATTTGTGTGAGCAATGTCAGATAACAAATCATTAGCCCACAGCAGCAGAGTTGGAGCTGAACAGACAGGCAAAAAATGGTACCCTGGCTTTATGGGCTCGTGTTGGGTGACGTGTCTTGCACTTCCAACCTTGCTTCCAAAGGTTGTCAGCAAACCCCACCTATGCTGTGTTTGGGGAAGACCAATACAATGGATTTCTTATCAGTCCCATAATGATACAGGCCTGTGCCTGGATCTTAGACTGTTTGAAGGAAAAGTTCAGGAACTGGAACTCAAGATACCGCTAATGTGACAGGCAAAAACAAAATAAAAAAGTGTTTTGCCAAATTCATTATCTGTAAAACATTTCTCACTGTATGTGCCTAATGTGATGGATAGCTGCTCCTGGTAACGGTCAGAGGTGCTTTAATTAACCATGACTTAAAGAAAAAAAGAAGGAACAAACCTTCAGTGCTTTTGTAGCCTGCAGATTCTCCGACAGGTGAGGGACGGCTGCAGTTAATCAAGATGATTATGGCTAACTGATTGAATTATGGTTGCTTTTGAAGAGCCAGGCAATATGTGGATGTCTCCTGTTCCTTAAGATCCAACAGGATTATTCACCCGTGCCAGAGTCAAATGTAAATTCAGATGTTTTGGGGAGTCTGTAACCAAAGGAGCAGAGTTCTTAAGGCACGCTGGTAGGGATGTGCAGAAGGCTCCTGAAAACTTTCCCCAGATTGGATTTTGGAACAGGATTTGTAGCGCTTAAAAATGCTGCCAGTACTTCAGAGCACCATCTTGAAAAACCGGTGTTTTGGAGCCACCTTCTGTCTGTTTAATAATATTACACTACAAGACTAATTTACGTTTTGTGATGTTAAGTATCAGAAGATCACCAGTGTAGCACTGTGCAATGTTTTTGCCCTTTTAAAATAGTTATATAATGCTTTCCTGTACAGTTCTATAGACTGTAAGTAAACCCTCAGTCTGTCATGGAGAGGGAGTTATCACTGCCTCAGTAGAGCTCCTTTCCATGGAGACTTGTCAGCAGGCTTTCTGTGCTTGGTACTACTACTAAACTGATACGGAGAAACAAAATTGGCAAACAGAAATTCAAGGTTTTTGATGTAGAAAGATACCCTGAAGTGAATCTCTTCTGTAGCAGCTATGATGTATTTTGGTAATGTTGCAGCTGTTGTTTAATATTATTTAGACACTAACCTCTTAGAGAGGTTGAGCTGAGGAGCCAAGATATAATGTGGTAACACTGTCAATTCTCTCCACAGACAGTACTACTGGTATGATGAGCGGGGAAAGAAGATCAAGTGCACTGCTCCTCAGTATGTTGACTTCGTCATGAGTTCAGTGCAGAAACTAGTGACAGATGAGGACGTCTTTCCAACAAAATACGGTATGTCTGCTTTTGGACAGGTGCTTCCTGTGGCTCTTTGCAGACGCCGTAAGTAAGGTGAAAGTTGGCATTCAGGATATGTATTAATACCAGACAGCTTTCTCACTTGTTTGTTTGATGTTTTGGGTTTTTTTTTAAGGGAGATTTTAAGTTTGGTTCATTCTTGCAGTAAGACGGAGTTGTACTGTTGGCATATGAACTGGGGTGAAAGACTCACAGTCCTGTCCCCTTGGCTTGTATTTCATCATCAGTACATTTTTCTTCAAGCATTTTGAGATCTTCTAGCCTGTATTCAGAGAGGATAAAAATTTGAAAACTGTCAGCATGTATGTGTTCAATACAGCCTGCTGCCAGTAAAATTTAACCTTCTTGGTTTTTTTACTATTTCCTTTAGAGCCCTGATGCATTAAGGGGGAAATAAATTGGATTGCCAGGAATGTGGCTTGTCTTCCTTACCCAACCCGGCCTTGCCTCACAGATTGTTTGCAGTCTCCCTTCCCTTCCAAAGATTAAAAAAGAATGTGATTTTTAAGAACTGAAAAGCAACAGGAAAGTAACTCAAATTTGTATCCTAACAAGATTGCTACTTGTAATGCCTTTGGTTAAGGGGAAAAAAAGAGAGACCTGAAGTTATGACATTAATCACGACTAAAAGCAGCTGGCTTCTTGAGCCCCTTCAACAGATAATTGGGGAACTCGGACATTACAATATAGCAAACACTAAGCTAGTAGCCTTTGCTTACAAGCAGCTTGATCTGGAAAGAGGCAGTGTCTAGTAAGCCAGCTGCAGTTGACTTTTTTTTTTTTTTTAAAAATATGCTTGTTCAAGGTCAGTGAGGGCTTTGCATGTGAGTGGTCCGTGTGGCCAAGGTGCACTTTAGACCAGTAACATACTTCGTATCGTGCATCATGCACAGGATGGCAGGTGTTGCTTTTTTGCTTGCCTCAGTTTCACTTTCAGCGTTAGCAAAGTAGTTGTCCAATAATCGTCTTTTACTAGGCAGGCACAGTACTGCTCCAGCAAGCACAATTTCAACTGCACCTGATAGAAGGCACCCAGTATTTCCTTCCATTTCTTTTCCCATTTGATAGAATTTCAACAATGAAATGAGGAAAGTCGTTATATACAGTTAGTCAAACTGCTGCACACTACCAAGGCCTGTGTACCTCAGCTTCCATTTCAGGATCTGTGAATTGGTCTCCCAAGCATTATGTACTTCCAGGGGAAAAATCTGCTACTCCTGGACAAACTAGATAAGGATCCAGAAGAACATCTCGTTATTTTTACAGCCAGTAAGAAAAAAATGTTGTGGTTTTAAAGAATGATTACACTTGCTTCCTGATTTTTGAACCTTTAGGGTTTAAAACTTAACTTCAAATGAAAATGCTTAAAACCTTCTTAGATTCTTCCCCTGAATTCCTGTAAAAAGAACAAGATGAGAGGATGATAGAGGGCCCACAAGTTGTCTGCTGTATAAGGCGGGCTAGTTGCTCGTAACCCACAGTTCAGCCCAAACAAATGCTGCTGTGAGGCTGAAGGTGAGCAGCTGGAGCTATCACGGTGTTTTCTCTGTCTTCCTTTCAGGCAAGGAATTCCCAAACTCATTTGAGTCCCTAGTGAAGAAGATCTGCAAGTACCTGTTCCATGTGCTGGCCCATATCTACTCCTCACACTTTAAGGAGACTTTGGCACTGGAGCTGCACGGACATTTAAACACGCTCTACACACACTTTATCCTATTCATCAGGGAGTTCAACCTCGTGGACCCTAAAGAGACCACCATCATGGATGACCTCACAGAGGTCCTCTGCAGCAGCAGCGGGAGCAGCAGTAACGGGAGCGGCAATGGGAGCAGCAACAGCGCAGGAGCACAGAACCATGTGAAAGAGAGATGAGCCCTCCTGCAGGATCAAAACTAACATTAAAAACAATATTATATATTCTGTGTGTATGTGTATGTATATGTTCAGATATACATACAGACATATACAGCAATGAAAGCTGAAAGAAATTATGCTGCCACCACAGGACATGTAGTCGTATGGGACCGTATGGAGCTTTGGTTTAATGCGCCACCTGGCGAGAAGTTGCACCAATTTTATTTTATTTTCTGTCCACTCCTCCTTTTACCTATTCAGATGGATGATGAGTGCTGTTTTTAGAGAAGAGCCAAGCTTGAGAGTGGGGCCACTCTTGGGTTTTTTGGTTGGGTTTTTTTTGTTTGTTTGGTTGTTTTTTTTGTTTTTCTTTCTTTGGTCTTGAGTGCAAGCCCTTTGTCTTTCTAGGATGGTGGTCCTGCCATTTAAAAAAATATCTATTATATTATAAGAAGTGACTTTTACTTTGAAGTGGCTTAAAATTCAGGTTTGTTTGTTGGTTTGTTGGTTGTTTTTTGGTTTGATTTTACATAGACTGCCCCTTACCCTGCCAAAAAACTCCCCAGTTGAGTGCATCTTGCCCTTTGTTAGCTTGGAATGGGAAGAAACTCCTGGCTTGACTAGCAACTAGGGGCTTGCTACATGTTGCAAGTGGGCATGATTCTCCAGTTGTCCTATCTACCTGGTCACAACACGTGAGCATGCAAGAGGATCCACAAGCCTTTCTGCTTATTGCTCCTACAACATATATACTCTTTTCTCTGCTCCCCCGCCTCCTCTTTTCCCAGGCACACCTCTACAAATAAAAAGAGTAAGATCACTGGAGTCCAAAACCCATGTGCAAGAGCCACCACCATTTGCTCCTCATTGAACAGAGGCCCAGGGAGGGGGGAGAAGGGTACATTGAGTCAGTCACCGCCTGTGCTAGAAAGATGGCTGTTGGCATAAAATTATATTGTTGGCTTATTTTAGTTCATCTGTTCTATGATAATAAAAACAAATCTATCAGCCATAAGCTTTGTTTTTGTGTTTGCAGCGTCAAAAGTCAGTGGAATCCACTCATACAGCTACCCTTTCACCACTGAATGCTGTTGGCCCTGCTGTCAACCAGCTTTATAAATAATTGTTTGTCTTCTACCCTGTAATCTTACATTTATAATCAATTCCTTGCTCTTTCTGGTAGTGCTAGGAACCACCTCCCCAGGTAATCTGAAAATAAGCAACACTTGGAAAGGAGCACATTTCCTGTTTGTACCTACTTCTGCAAATGCAGTGGCCTCTTGGATATTTTGCAGCGAATATTGTATCACAGTATCTGTGGATACAGTATTGTATCTGGACAGTGATATTACTCTTTCCTTCACATTTCCACCGAATTCTTGCAGTCAGCTTTTCCAGTTGTGAAAACACTAAATTTTGCTTGCAATTGTGCTTCTGTCAAATCTGTGGCAGCCTCTGAGAATTGTTTGTTACTGTTTTTGGTCATTATCCTGAGGTATATACATCATTAATAACTGACCTGGCATGAATCCTAGAAGGTTTTCCTGAATGAGGTCTGTAACTGTAGTTAAAAGTCAGTAGAGGGAAGAAAAGGAGAGCAAGTGCAAAGAAAAAAGAGAAGAAAAAGCATAAGCAAGTGGGGGGTGGGGGGGGTGGGGGGGAAGCGTGAGCAAGAAAGGAGGAAAAAAGAGAAAAAAAAAAAAAGCACAAGCAAGAAAACAGCTTGTGAAGAAGTGTGAAAGAAGTGTGCCATTTGTAAGGCCCCTGTGTTACTTGCAATGAGAGCATACAGTAGAGTTCAAGGTAAGAAAATAATAGCAAGGACAACAACCCAAACCCAAGTATTTCTGGTAATTTATTATCTACTTGTAAAAATGCATTTGCAGTCTTAATTCTAAAAGACCATTTAGAAATGATACACATTTGGAAAAGGGTTTGACTTGAACAAGAGGCAGTTCAACTTTCTCTGGAAAGACTGACTTAGCTACAACTCTTTAAGTTTCAGATCACAACACAGTGATATCTGTATCAAATGGAAGGGTGATTATACATTAGCTTCCCATAGGAGAACTGACAGAACCTCGTAGGAAGTCTGGGAACCCATGCGTTGATGCAAAGTAGCAAACCATTAATTCAGCTTCCAGGAGAACAGTGAATTACCTCCAGAAGAGCCTGCTGTTGTTCAAGGCAGCTCTCCCAAGTTTACTCTGCAGATATTTGATGTTCCTGAAAGCATAGACACTTCATCTAGCAGGGTAATTTTTTTTACATTTTACAAGCAGTTAACAAGAACACAAACAGTGAATCCTATTTTAGTGTAGCCTATCTCATTGGTTTTAGTGGGAATAAGGGAAACACTGAAATAGTGCCAACACTCCTCCTTGTCAGGAGTCAATGTTACTGTAAAGCTCAGCCTCAAGGCATCCAAGCATATTTCAGAGGTTACTGAATTATGCTGTAGTAACATTAGATACAGAAGTGCCACTAAGTCTTCAAACTCTGCTTGGTTGATACCACTGAAGCCTGTCAGTGACCTTCTACGCTTGCAGCATGTCACTGACTATCTGCACTGTAAGCACTGAGCCTGAATCCCCCTGTATCTAAAAAACAGGCTTAGGTCTTCTACCACTGAGGAAATTGTCACATTGCTGCTTTAAACGTGTTTTGTAAATTGTTTAAAGCGCAGTCAGAACAGAGGCACCTTAATTATGCTACATTCAAACCCCCCTCCTCCCCACCCTTCTTGCCCTAAAGATCATGATGTACCATACCGTTGTTTAAGGGTTGCTAAATAAATAAAAGAAAAAACACAAAACACCCCAGAAAAATAACCAAACACTGCTAGTTCAACACTTTGAACTATCTACACACTCGCCCACCCCTGGCAGACATGCCTTTCGCAGGCCTTGGCTTGTCAAACTCTCAGCCTTACATCTGCTATTGCAGAATCCCTAACCAACTTTCAGGCCTAAAACCATGGCAATGAGCACAAGCCATCATAGGGCAAAAGTCTTTCCCTTAGAACTAAGAATAGTTGTATGTATGTTTTGTAGGATTGTGCTCCTGACATTTGGTGCTCTGGACACGAGTGATGTGCTGAAGAGCTGAGGTGGCATAAATTTATAGCAATGGGGTGAAATGTTATAGCAAGCTGGAACTCCCCCCCCCCATTTTGTCATTATCAGTAAGTCTTTGAGGCTGCAGTGTCCTTAGGAAATCCAAGCATAAGCACCTGTAAATGAAAACAGGAGGAAAATAATTTCTTCGTACATGCCATCTGGAATAAATACCAGCAGCAGGTAAGCAAGCACCAAGGTCAGCAGCTTGTGTCTGTTACATGGGCTACCTCCGGCCATTCTCAGGAATGGGACACAGGAAAAGTGCCACCAAGTCTTTCGCACAGAGAAACAGCCATCTTTAGCTTTGACCTCAAGGCAATGAGCTGTGTTGAGATCACAGGACCAGCTTCACCCCAACCCTAAGAAAGGTCCTGAAGTGGCAAGCTGTAAATTGAGTCAGGCATCTTCTACTTCACCCCAGCAAAATCAGAGCTATGCCCTTCTTTCTTGCCTGAGAATTGCAGTTATCAAGTCTGAGATCCCATAGAGCACACTCATAGATGAGTAACCTTTTAACCAAGAATTTTAAGAAACTCGACTTGCTTGTTACGGAACACTTCTGACAAGAAGATCTGAGGAGGGAGAAAGATGTGTTCTGGCTCTGAGGTACCACCAGTTCTGGCCAAACATGCGCATACCGAGGCGCTCCTGGAAGGGGTCGGGGACTAAAGGTGGATGCTGCCAGGTAACAATTAGCTCCTGCACATTAGCAGAAGACTAAAAGACTGTCACAGAAACAAGCAATCCCATAAAAGAACAAGACAACTTTATGAGCGCTTACTAAGCATGCTGATCTCATACAAAGCCACGGTTCATCAAACAAGCCCTTATATCTGTCACGTAACTTGTCCCAGCCAATCCTTAGCTCACCATTTCAGCTGTTAACAAAGACTTGAATCCAGAAATACTCTTCCATTATCTAAACTGAGGACAGAGGAATAGGTTGTTGTTATACTCTGTTCAAACCTACCTAAACAAATGAAACCAATGTTCCTTGTCTGTAGCACAAATGGCAACACCAGACAGTTTAAATCTCATTCTAATGCCCAGGTGCTGGCAGTAGTTACAGCACAGCGTTCAGTCTGGCTAATTTATCCGTGCTGCAGTGGCAATACTGGTGCCTGAATACAAGCTCAGTACCTGAAGGATTTAAAAACAGATATGGTATCTTTACATGATATAAGCTGTATGCAGTACAGACAAACCCCAATATTCCCAATGGAACTGATAATATAAAGTGAGAAAAACACCAAACAGCTTGCAAAAATCCCTCAGTGTGCTAATGGGGTCTCCATTCTTTTCACAGACAGAAGAACTGCTCTGGTTGTGACAGCTGACATGAACAGTAAGATTTTTTCAAAGTTAGATTAGCATGTGACTTGGAGAAAACAGACTTCTTGTGGCCAAGCACTCAGATGAGAGAACATTCAGAGAGCTTTGTCTAGCCCTCCCCCCCCAAAGACTAGCCTCACTTCTCTATGTGTCCGCATCTGCTAATTCTTTTCATTATATCTAAAAAAGAGGCATTAAAATACTCTGACGCTTTTCCACACACCAGCGCAGATATAGTTAACATGCTCTCACAAAGTGGTGCAACGTCTCTTACATAAAACCCCATAAAACTCCTCCTCCTTTTAACGGTCTCTGGGATAATTCAAAAGAAAGGGTACAAAGCGCCTGGGCTAGACAGCCTTTCCGCTCAGTGGAGAGCAACCCTGTGCAACATCAGCTCAGATGATAGATACAGAAAGGTCAAATGCCATCTCACGAAGGACTTCAGCCTCTCTGAAACCACTGCTTCACCTGACATCAGTAAGGCTTAGAAGACACTTGCCCCGAAGCAAGTACTGCCCTCAAGGACTGCAAAAGGAAACCTAAAAAAGGAAAACAAACTGGTCCTTGGACCCAGTTACTAATTTAACTACCACACTGAACCAATGAAATGGTCCTGGATTCCCCCAGAAGGGCTTTAATGCAGGTGTACAAGGAGTTGAAGGTGAATCCTCAGCCTGATAAAGGAAAGAAAGACTGCACAGCTCTCCAGCACCGCATACTCATTAGACGCCATAAGGCCACGCAGCGATTAGAGTCCTGTTCTGTTTCTTTCTGCATAGACTGAATTCCTTTAGGAAAGACCTATACTCGCAAGCTCTATTTCCAAGCAGATGAGACTTCCTAAGTGACTTTTTTCCCCCTCTTAATTGCACTTGACTAAGTATCAAACACCTGACTTCCATAGGGTTAATTCCCCAAATAATTTCAAGGAATATTCTTTCTGTTCCTAAGCATCAAAGCTTATGGAGCAGTTTGGGTAGAAGAGCTAACTCTCTCATATAAAGTCTGGTAGACAATGAAATAGCTATTAATACAGAAATTCATCCCAATTCTCTGTCTTGGCCAACCTGGGGTTTTTGTTTAGTTTTACTGCAAGGTAATGCTAGAGCCTTTACCACCTCTGTCATGACAGAGTTCAGAGAGGCAGATAAGTATGTCTGGGTTTGGATGACTAAATGTAAGGGATAATTTTACTTTGCAAGGTAGAAATACATTGATTTTTAAAGTCTTCTGTAACAAATTTGGGGACACTGGTATTGCAGACAGCCAGAATACTTACATCTGCCTATTAAAAGAATTTACTTTTATGAATAAGGAGAAGCCTGTGCTTGGCTCCACTTTAAAAAGGATAATCCAGAACAGAACTGGAAACTGACATTGAATAATCCAAGATTTTTACAGTTACATGAAATCTATATAAAACCTGTAACAGAAAGAACTCTGTGTCCTTTTCAGCCAGGCTTACTGACACTCAGCAATTTAGGAAGGTTAATTTCAATCCTTGTGGCTATAAAACCTATCTCAGCAGGAGTGAATACAAGAAGCAGAAGGCAAATTGTGC